ATGTCACAGAGAATGTAAGATTTCTGAAGAAATGAGAACAGAAAGGAAAAATGGCACATTTTACAACCCCTTGCTTGGCTATCAAACTAATACATCCAGAATCAAGGGCAGGGGAAGGGGAAGGTTCCCCTCATCAACCACAGCCTAAAATCTGGGCAGGTTAATTTTACTCAATGACATCACCAGCTCCTTGCCGCCATCATGAGGCTCTCTACCAAGCCGCCCTGAGGTTATACAGCACAAAAACCCAGTCCACCGACTCAGTTCTATAGACCGTCTGGATCTCTTGATTCCACTTCCCAGTCTTCATCAAGATCAGGCAGCTGAAGGGATTGATAGAGTGGGTGCATGTCTTTGACAGTGCCTTTCAAAATGAAAATTCTTCCAAATCTAGTTAAACATGATGATAGCTTTCAATTCCTTCAAGGAAATCTACTTAAACATTCTGTTGTCAAAGGCAGACCGAGTTTCACAATATGCTCACAGATTAATATCATCGTAGTTAAGCAAGTCCTGCCAGAGTTCCCTGACTGTGTCCCTGGAGAACTCCGATTTCACTGCTGAGCGTGAGTGGGGCGTGGATTTCACATTCGAGAGGTTGAGGTGATCCAGTGCAAGAAGAAAAGATTCCCCGCTACCCGACAGCAGCATCCGAGCACGAGGTCCTCCACCCTTCTGAGCCTGGGATCCCAAAACACACGACTCTCTCCTGGAAAACTTCCTTCCCCGTGGCCTAGAGGGCTTCTCAGTGCACCCACAGGCTCATCTGGGGGCCGGTGTGACTGCTGTGCCACGGGGTGGAGGCAGCAACGGTCTAGGCAGCAGCGGCACCGGCGCTGGCACACACAGCCAAGGGTCCTGCTGGGGCGGTGCCATCGGCACAGCTGTGGATTCAGTTAACGGCGCCTTGAGAATGCCAGCCCCACAATGACATCTGCCCAGAAAACCCTCTGACTTTTCATCCGGAGTTAACAGAGCCACACACAGGTGCTCAGGCCCCCTCAAAACAGCTCATTCTGTAAGTTCTAGAAGCCAAACATGGTCAACAGGTGCCTTTCGTAAAGAAATAGCTGGGTAGACTCTTCTGAACAGGTGATAGGCATTTTATTTTGTAAACTACACTTGAAAAAAACTACTGAAAGCCAGATATAAGCAGGGCGCGGTGGCGTGTGCCTGTAGCCTCCCTCCTCGGAAGGCGGAGACAGGCGGCTTTCTTGAGGCTGTAGTGTGCCACGATCGCACCTGGGAATAAAGCCACCGCAGTCCAGCCTGGGCAACACGGCGGGACCCTGTCTCAGACTTAACACAATTGCACAAGCAGAACAAAATCAATATCCGAAAGATCAGTGGATCAAAAAGCACTGGCCCAGCCTTTGATTAATGGCAACCGTAACACAACTAATAAAAAAATTTCTAAGACTGTGCTTTAAGGACGGAAATGAAGCTTTTTGAGAAAATCGGGGTAGGAAATGAGCTGAATGGAGCCGATTTTCAGAATGGCTGCTATGGACCGAATGCTTGTGTACCCTAAAATTCTTCCATATTGAATGCTGAATTCGTGAATGTTGAAACCCTACTTCCCACAGTGATGTATCTGGATTCGTGAGGCTCCGCCCTTGGGAACAAGATTAGTACCCAGTTCCATAGTACCCAGCAGATGATCTCGCCGCCCCACGCGAGGATACAGCCAGGAAGGCTGCAAGCAGCAAGCGGGTCCTCGCCAGGTCCTGGGTCTGCCACAGCGTTGGTTCTACACTTTCCAGGCTCCAGAACTTCGAGAAATAAAGCCACTCCGTCTATGGTATTTTTCTTACAGCAGCCTGAACTAAGACGACAGCAGAAAGTGACTATTGCTTCCTGATTATTTATTCATTTTTGCAAATTTAGTTTTGTGTTTTTGGGTTTTTAAAAGGGTATTTGGCTTTCTATACACTACCAATAAAATGGTGTACAGAAAATCTCCCTCTCCAAGAGACCTCACACCCCATGTCCTTACGGTAACTAGCAGGACCCTTTCTTTTCTTTACTTTTTTTTTGAGACAGATTCTCACTTTGTTGCCTAGGAAATGTTGGCTCACTGCAACCTCTACTTCCTGGGTTCAGGCTATTCTCCTGCCTCAGCCTCCCAAGTAGCTGGGATTACAGGCACACCCCACCAAGCCCTGTGAATTTTTGTATTTTTAGTAGATACAGGGTTTCACCATGTTGGCCAGGCTGGTCCTGAACTCCTGACCTCAGGTGATCCACCTGCCTCAGCCTCCCAAAGTGCTGGGATTTCAGGCATGAGCCACAGCCACCAGCCACGACCCTTTCTAATATACACATTGAAGCTTCACTCTGGTTCCACCATCAAAGAAAGATTGGGAAGCTCATCTTTCCCCAGGGAGCACCCAGCCGCCCAAACCCAGGGTGATTTGGGTCACACCCTGGTCACATGCCGTCCATCAGTTCCAAAGGCCCCACGCTCTAATTCCCCAGGGCTGATGCAATGCAGGAAACCCAGCTATGGCCAATACAGCGCTACAACCCACTTCCAACACCCCAAGGCTAGGTATGCTGCAGAAGTCACAAGTGCTTGGGTTTTTAAAAACTGATACGTGGCTTCCATGGTCTATTACGGTGCACTAGTGCACTCCCATACCAACCACTGAAATATCTGTGCCAGAACGGATAATCACACGGAAGCAACTGGATTAAGAAAACATAAAAAATACACTCAATTTAGGGCAGGTCAAATGCTGCTGTCAGAGTATTTTAGAATTTGGATATGAGGGAGCAGTGTGGTGGCTCATGCCTGTATTCCTAGCACTCTGGGAGGCAGATAACATGAAGTCAGGAGTTAGAGACCAGCCTGGCCAAAATGGTGAAAGCCCATCTCTACTGAAAATGCAAAAAATTAGCCGGGCGTGGTGGTGCACGCCTATAATCCCAGCTACTGGGGAGACTAAGGCATGAGAATCGCTTGAATCCAGGAGGTAGAAGTTGTGTGGTCAGCCGATATCCCGCCACTGCACTCCAGCTTGGGTGACAGAATGAGACTGTCAGAAATGTACACAGCAAGTCTCTGCATGTGGAGCCAGTGGCAGGAGAGGGCACACTATGAGACCCTGGCTGCCACACAGAAGGAGGTGAGCACATCGGAAATCCAGGCTTTTGCTTGGCCAACAAAGCCCAGCAAATCCTCCTGCTTTGGTTAAGTGTTGTCAGCGCACGAAAATACATTTCCTGATGTTAAATGCAAGACTCCAGGATTCTAAATATTTTCACTCACTAAAAGCTATAATCAAGAACAGAAGATCTGAGCAGAAAGAATTCGTGATTTTCCTAATTGGTTGTTTGATTTGTGTCATAATGGAAATTAAGTGTTGGTCTTTGTGTGCTGAAGAAAACGAATCGTTCCTGTGTTTAGGATTTTCACACATTTTAAAAGCACTTGTCTGTCTTCCAAATACGCCTTAAAAATAAACAGTATATTCGTTTTATCGTAATGTGCTATTTAATAACAAAGGCTAAGCAAAAAAATAAAAAATAAAAAGGGATCAAAAAAGCAAACAAACTAAATGACACCTCTTATTCCTGTCTGTTTAGACTAAGGAGTCAGGAACGCAGATTAATTTTTCCCTTTCCAGTTTTCTAACTCTTTCCCACTCTGCCATGAAAACTGGATCTGGAGCTGAGAAGTCTGACTGAACAGAGAAAAAAAACTTAGTGACCTCAAATTCTACACAGACAGAAGTGGTTCTGCCCTGACCTGAAAACTCATCTTTTGTTACCATACAGTGTGCAAGTAGTGATTCCAGAATGTTTACACCTGAACGGCATGCAGGTTCTCATGTCAGGCACGCAGAAAGGCACTGGGCCATGGGAAGTAAGGCCATTCGGGTAGGCACTCCTGTGCCCCAAAACTCACCGAGGGCAAAATCTGCAGCCTGTGATACAACTGAGCACACACAATGCATTTGCTGTGTCCAGCGCTGCGTAAAAGCACAGGGACTACGAGTTTTGAGCCTGAGCACTTGCAAAGGCAGGAGCCACCAGGCTACACTTCTTGGAGAGGTATCTGGAGGTCTATGCTAAACCTATGCCAAACTTCATAAAATATATTTGACTAGGTATTCAACTATCAACTATAATTATATTATAGAACACTATATGTTGTATGTATCATCTATGATATAAAAAATTTTCACTGAGACAATTTTAAAGACTGCTGTCTTAGTACATGAAATGAGGGAAGATTTAATCCTCTTAAGGTAATTTATGTAGGTTACACTTAACACATATGAATTGCCCTTTTATTTAAACATCAAATAAAGGCAATTATAAGAATTAGCTACTTATCAAACAAATTGCAATGATGAGATATGAATTTGTAAAAAATCTTCAGACTAGATTTGTAAGATGTTTGCCTCTGGAATTTGCCATGGAGAGGCCTGGAATCCCGATTCTGTGGGGGCTCTACTGTGCTTAGGGGAACACAACTGGCCTCCTGAGATCCCAGCCCACGTATCTCTTGACACTGGAGGGTCCAGAATTCTTGTGTAAGGACAGGCTCTCTGCAGCCTCTGCTTGCTCTCAAAACCAATGGAAACCACTCACGTGGGCTGACCTGTTCCTGGGAGCTGGCCCAGCCCAAGGCCTGGCATCCAGCGATGGGGCCCTCTGGCCGGCAGAGGGCACTGCACACCCTGCATGGTCTTCCAGAGACTACAGAGTCAGCCTCCTGGCCGTGAGTCATTATCCTCATTTCTATTCCCACTTGGGGTCTACCAGCATCTGGAGAAAATCATATCAGCTGCCCCCGGAAGGGAAGGTCTCGGCCCATGGATGAGACGCTGCATTTCCCCGAAAATTCCGGATGTGAAAGACAGAAGGTCTCGCCCTTCCTGCAGCAGATGCTTAGTTCCTAGGAGCATGACATGCCAGGGAAAGGGAACGCAGCACCAGCCCGGACCTGTTGTGTATCTCTTGGGATGCCAGCGGGGGTCCGACCTTCACAGCTGAGTGACTTGAGGTACAGGCCAAGCAGGCTTCGGGTCCCTGACCCAAGGGAGCCAGGGGCTGCCCTAAAAAAATGATTTTTTCCATTATGCCCAGTGATATCAAGCAGTCACCGTGCTAAAAAATGGAAGCAACCTGGCAGGGGCGGAACATCCATGGAGAGGAGGGCGCTAGGGAGGGGCTGGCTAGGCTGGGTGGCTCCGAAAAGGCCCTCCAGCTTTCCATGACAAATGACGGCTTCTGAGGCACTATGCACACCTGATCAACAGGTGACTGCTCGGTTTCACTCAACACCAGGATCAACTTGCTGGCAGACAAGCATGATCTCAAAATAGACATTTTTTTCCTGGTAGACGCTAATTTAGAAAGGAAACTGGGGAAAGGGGCATTTTTTTCCAACCTTCCTCAGGAATTGATTGTGGTCAGAATGCACATTAATGTGCTCTCTCGCCTCAGTTTGCCCACCTGACCCTCCCCCCACCCCACACACGTGCTCTCTCTCGCCTCAATTTGCCCATGTGACACAACACACACAGACACACACACCCCTACCTTTCACCAAGTTCTAAGAGGCTGGCCACCTCTTCTCCATACTGGCAGGGCACCTGACAGTCTCTGGCTGGAGAGGAATGGGAGGGGCTGGTGTAGCCCACTAATGCCCTGGTTCGGGAGGCACATGTGCCTAATTCAGTCTGACCTTCACACGACACTTTTTTTACCATCCACAGCTGTCACGGCAGCAGGACGCCACTGGATGACGCAGCATCTGCTTGGCCTGACTTGGCAGAGGTTACCTTTGGACAGACCCCACACACCTGCAGATCCTGGGGAGTCCCCACCTGAGCTCCAGTGCCACCTCCCCCAGGCAGCCTCCAGGATGTGCCTCTCCACTTCTTCATGGTTCTGATGTCACAAACACCTCAGAAGCCTGCTCTAAATAACACTTAGTGGGACTTGCTTTCACTGCCTGCACGACGTTCCTCTGTACAACTCACTTCAGTGTGGAACACCCAGCAAGGAACATGGGCTACCTGGCGGCCAAGGAGATGTGGCGACCTGCAGGCGCAGTCCAAGATGGTGGAAAGGGGCGTTCAAGCTGGACTGGCAGAGGTAAGTTATCCATGCAAATGCTGGCTGCGGCTTCCAAGTGTCTGGAGAGATCATCTCAAAAACAAGCAGGAACAGCTCCCTCCAAAGGGGCCCATCTGTTGAAGGAGTCGGGGCCCAGCCTTCCAAGTTCCATGCCAGTCAGGTCACAGAGTCAAACCAAATCAAGACTCTTGAGCCACCTGGCTTCAACTATTCTGTCCAGCCTGACTCGACCAGGCCAGTGTGGCCACCGCCCCATTGCATAGCTCAGCTCCCAAAACCCCATGTCTGAAGGGCCAACCCTTGGGACAGCAGGAGCTGGCGCATGTAGTGGGATAAAAGTGTTCCAGGCACCCGGGGTGGCTCACCGTTCATTTCAGGTAAGGCGTCACTCACACAAATGTCAGCATGCAGGAGAGCCAACTCGGACCTTGGGAGTGGAGGAATATGTCTGCTTTATGAGGGCAGATGCTCTATGCCTAGGTCCTTACAAGTACCAAATGTCAGAATGTGTCTCTATCACCAAAATCCCCTCTGCAGTGCCATGGGGGACCGATACCCTGTCTCCTGACATAGGTTTGTGAAGTGATATATAAAACTCAGACATCCCTAACTCCAGAATGTCTCTAGATTCAAAGGCACCACTTCCCAGACCTTATCTTTTCATCCTGAGTCAAAAAAAGAAAACTCTTAATCTTACACATAGCTTCTTCACAACATGAAACAAAACAGCTCCAAGCTACTGCCTTTGCTTAACATGGTTTTCACGTCACATGGAGGACACTCGGAGGGACGAGGCTTTGTTTTGTATCCACGACTGTACCCAAAGGGAGGGCGGGCGCCCTGCAGAGTCTGATGGGGAGGAGGGGCGTGGGACACTCCTGTGTCACCCAAATTCATCTTTGCCTCTCAAATGTCGGGACAAGAAAGGATGGGGGTGGGGCCCAAAAGAGCTCTTTTGTTTTTCTATGGTAGGGCCTCGCTGGGGATGAGCTGTCTTCTTGAATTATTTCACCTGTTTTAGTGGCTTCCAGTCCTGGTGTCCAAGTCTCTGATGGGTACACCACCCCATTTGAATATTCATCACAGCTCGGAACGTTCTGCGCCGTAGCTAAAATACAAGTTGAAGGAAAGAGGTTGCCGGGGAGAGGAGTAGGCAAGGCTCCCGATGAGGATCTTCTAGAGAACCTGACACCCTGTCATAACGAACTGCGGTCCTCACAGGCCTCCTACACCCAAATCCTCTAAAGCGGGGAGACATTTGGAGGAGGAGGGTGGATGGTGCCCATGAATCCAACCACCTGTGTAGAGAATGACAGCTCACCGTGTGCTGACAATCAGGGATCCTAATTTTACACCGCCCGCCTCAGCCTCCCAAAGTGCTGGGATTACAGACGTGAGCCACCATGCTCAGCTATTGGAGAATTCTTGACAAGGTCATTGCCATTTAAAACTCTGCTCTGAGACATTTTATGGGGATGCTGTGCATGTCAGAGCCCAAGCCACACAAATAAACGGGAAGAAAGGTCCAAGGACTCAGGATACCTGGATGCCAAGTTTATGTTCCCACCCCAGACACCATGAGAAAATGGTACATGAAGACACCTTAGGGAAAGGACGGTCCCTGAAGGCCCACTCATCATGTACTTCCTGCCTTAGCCAGCTGAGCCTGAACACCTATGGTCTCGCTGCCAATTAAGTCCCCAAAGCAATTAAAATACCTTTTCAAGCCAGGTGTGGTGGCTCACGCCTATAATCTTAGAATTTTAGAGGCTGAGGTGAGTGGATCACTTGAGGCCAGGATTTGAGATGAGCCTGGCCAATATAGTGAAGCCCATCTCTACTAAAAATACACAAATTAGCTAGGCGTGGTGGCAGGCAACCATAATACCAACTACTGGGGAGGCTGAGACAGAATGGTTTGAACCCAGGGGACAGAGGTTGCAGTGACCAGAGACTGCCATTCATACGGCTTTGGGACAGCCACATGCGTCTCCACACTTTCCAAGTTCAGGGGAAATTTTGAAAAACAAACAAACAAAAAACCTTTTCTGATTACAAAAGCATTCTCTCTGGTCCATTTCTGAAATTCTTCCCCCACAATGATGTTCATGAATACGATCATGCAGCCGCAGACCCCAAATGTACCTGTTTCTTCAAAATACAGAGTTTTAGGAGTGTGAAAGGCTTACTGGAAGAAGAAAAGAAGAAAACCACCACAGAACTTCCAAGATGATTCCAGCATGGATCCATGGGGCCATGAAAGCCAAGGCTGACCCTCAGGGTGGGAAGCATTCTCCCAGGTTTCTGGGGTACAACTGGGGGCTAAATCTGGAGGGCTGGGGCTCTCTCACCTCCAGAAAGGACCAGTGCCTCGTCAGACCTGAGGACATGGGGAGCAAGGGGAGACCACTGAAAATGACCTGCCACTTTCTCCTTCAAGTGGCAACTTTACTCGCCGCCACAGGGAGAGCAAGAGGACACAAAGGCAGGTCTTTTGCAGTCCGGCCTCCTGCACATCAGGTGGCTGCAGCCCCTCCTGGTGTCCCCCAACACAGCAGCACAAGGAAGCCCCTCTTGTCCTCTCCAGGTCCCTCCCAGAGGTTCTCTCAGGGAGGGCACCCAGGGATGAGTGGCTCCTTGGCTCAGCCTGCTCCACTCCCAAGGCCCTTGGGAAGTCAACAGGCTCCAGCGCAGGAGAGGCAGAGAAGGGGTGAAACGTCTGAGGTCAGACCCTCTGGGCTTCAGGGACAGCACCTCAGATGATGCCGGGAAGAATATCTCACACATGCCCCTGAAGATGGGAGGGGAGCTCTCCGCCCAGAGCTGGAGGTGTAGACAGGTCTGAAGATTTGGGAAGAGAAGAAGGGAAATGGGAACTTCACTGGGAAAAGGAGAGGTGCCGCACAGTTCCAAAGGGCAGGGCACTGGCCACGGATTGCCCTTCATGCCCAGCTCCACAAGACACCAGTGACCCAGCAGAGGACCCGATTCCACACAGGGACCCTTACTGAGGATGCACAAACAGCGTCTCAGCGACCTCTCCAGCTCCTACAGGACTCTGGCGACCCTGAAGCCTGACAGCTCTGCATAGCCACCCCCAGTGACAAAGGCGTGCTCACCAAATAGTAGAGGGCCATGGAGGATTTTTCTGAATCACTGCCCCTCCCCACAGGCCCACTGAGAGCTTTCCAAGCTGTCCATGACCCTCTCTCCCTACCTGCCTGAGGCAGATCCCATCTGTACTGTGGAAGCCAGAAAAAGAATCAATCCCATGGCCCCCAGGGACCCCCAACCTTTTATAATTCATGTCCTTGTATAAGCTCTGCTTCTAACGTGTAGTATACGCAGGTGAGGGGATGTCACTTCTGAGGTTAGGTTAAAAGAGACTACGGCTACCAGCTCGGGCGTTCTCCATCCTCCCCACAATTTCCCTCCCTCCCAAGGGCCAGCTGCCATGTCAGCTGCCCTAAGGAGAGGCCCATGGAGCAGGGAACTGAGGCCCTCAGTCTCAATAGCCCATGAAAAGCCAGGCCTTCAGATGAGACCACGGCCCCGGTGACGTCCTGGGTGCAACATCACAAGGGTCCTAGCAGGAGGCACCCAGCTAAGCTGTGCAGGTTCCTGTCCCATAGGAAGTATGAGACAAGTTCTGTTGTTTCAAGCGGTCCGTTATGAAGTAATTTGTCACACAGCAATAGATAGAACGCTTTCCACAACCTACCCACGGTCACGGACACGGTGCAGTTCAACAGAAAAGGTAAAAACAGTCACACATCTGTAATGCATGGCAGCAGGTTTATATGACCTACAGGACAGAGAACACTAACAAAAATCAGCCGAAGCCCTGGAAATCCTCGGCTGCCCGGGCTGATACGAGGTCTGCGATGCGTCTACTTCTGTCGCCTCCTGGGGTGAACG